CAGTTCTCCTGTCTCCACATCCTCGCCAGCACTTGTTGTGTTGATTATTGATGGTAGCCATTCTGACAGGTGTGAGGTGATATCTCATTATGGTTTTAATTTGCATTTTTCTCTGATGATTAGTGATGTTGAGCATATTTTCATATGTCTGTTGGCCATCTGTACATCTTCTTTGGAGAAGTGTTTATTCAGGTCCTTTGACCATTTTATAATTAGGGTGTTTGGTTTTTTTGGGTGTTGAGTTTTATAAGTTCTTCATAGGTTTTGGATATTAACCCCTTATCAGATGTATCATCGAGTATGTTCTCTCGTTCTGTGGGTTGTCTTTTCATTTTGTTGATGGTTTCCTTTGCCTTGTAAAACATTTTAGTTTGATTTATTGTTTTATTTTGTTTCCCTTGCCTGAAGAGATAGATTAAAAAAAATATTGCTACGGGAAATGTCCAAAATATTACTGTCTATGTTTTCTTCTGGAATTTTTATGGTTTCAAGTCTAACATTTAAGTCTCTAATCCATTTTGAGTTTATTCTTCTGTGCGTGGCTATAAAAAAGAAGAAAATTTTACCCTTTACAACAACATGGATGTACCTAAAGAACATTATGCTAAGTGAAATACGCTTAGGAAAAGACAAGTACCATATGTTTTCACTCGTATGTGGAATCTAATGAATAAACTGACTCAGAGAGAGCAGGCTGACAGCTCTGGGGGAGGTGGTTGGGGGTATACAGATCAAGCAAAATAGAAAAAGAGCTCATGGGCAGGGACAACAGTGTGGTGATTGCAGGAAGGAGGGGGGTGGATGGAGGTAGAAGAGGGTACGGGGGATAAATAATAATGAATAATACAATAAAAACATGTGTGTACTCAAAAAAAACCATGCAAATCTTTCATTAGTCATCAAATAAACTTTGAAAATATGTCAGGTTCATCTTACCTCCATGACGTTGCTGCAAGAGTTTGAACAGTTGCCTTTACTTTCTGTAATCTTGTCATAGCTACGATGATAGTAATGGTAGACCATTCTTTTAAAGACAAGACATTAAGATAGGAAGAAAAGTCACTGCTCATAAATTAAAGGCAACAGATTCTGCACATTAATTAGGTTAAATATGTAAAAAATGATCAAAATAGTTCCTCTTTCTGCCTCCCTCAAAAACCCAGGTGTTGCCAAGTAATCAATCATCAGTAATTTCATTTTTTATCCCTTCTCTCAGAAAGTCAAAATTTTATTTTATGTTGCACAAAAAGCATTTCCAATGAAAAAACAGCCAGTTCTCTAAGGTTCTTGAAATCACATTCCCATCTACATTTTTCATCTCATACTGAAGTTAGTCCACTTTTTATATTTATGCTAGACCTCTCTGATGGCCCAGCAGTGGGCTGTAGATGCTCATTGATGCCATTAACAAACAAACTTTTTGATCATTGTGGCCCTTTACGATTCTTAGCAGGCTTTTTCTGTGTTATATCTTATCATTCCTTTTAGAAATGTCGGAAATCAGATATATAGAGGACAAGTAACATGCTAATAACCCAAACCCCGGTAAATGTCTAGAACCCTTAGTTCTTGTCTTCTCATCCAAAGTTATTCTGAAACCCCAAAGAGTAGATGTATGGGGTATCAGGAGTATGTGTGTGTGTGTGTGTGGACATGTGGGCTGGAAAACAGACATGTAGGAAAGGTAATTGACTAATGACTCCTCTTATCCTTTGCTAGGCAAGTACAATGTCATTGTGTCAGCGTTTCCTTTTTGTAAACAGGCATGAGTAGAGAAGTGGGCAGCATGAAAATTGCTGAGGATAGGAGTTGTACTTTTCATCTCCAGAACTTCGCAGACAGAAAATACTTAATAGGTATAGGCAAATGGAGGATGTGTTAGATAATCCCATCAAAGAGAAGTCCTCTACAAGGACAGGAATTTTTGTGTCTTGTTCACTGCTATAATCTCTAGCAACTGAAGAGTGCTTTTTTACAGGATAGGTGCTAAAATTTTGTTAGTGAACAGGAACCTGCATGGAATGGTCCAGAGAGCATCAGTCCTTAAAAAGAAAAATTCATAAACACAGCTACCAAGAGACTGAACAGAGACACTGAGTTGAAAGTTCCAGAGAAGGGTTTAGCTTGTGTATATATATACTTAAGCCAAGAACGCTCTGTTTATTTGTACTTCCTGTTACTTTTCTCAGATACTTTTATATCTTGCTGGAAAGATTCTACTCCCAGATGCTTTTATGTCTAGCTCCTTCACTTGATTTATATCTCTGCTCAAATGGCACATACACAGAGAGGCCTTCTCTGACTATCCCTTTAAACTGCCTATGCAAAATTTCAAGAATATTAAAAGCCAAGAGAATAATGTAATGAGCTTTTATGTACTAAATCACCCAGCTTCAGTAATTATTGTTTTACCTGTTTTAAAAAAAAAGCATTTATTACTATGTGACATTATATCATATATCCTTTTATATCTTTGTTTATGGGCTAGTCCTTTTCTCATGAGGTCAGGGACTTTATCTATCTTGTTCACTTCTATATTCCAGACACTATGAACAGTATCAGGCACATTGCAATTACAGAAAACTATTGTTGAATGAAGAAATGAGTGATTAATTAAGAGAAGATTGCTCTAAGGCTAGTGGATTCAAAATAGTTGTAGAGATTTACAATAATCTTATTTTTGCTATTGGAAGTACTTATTTTTAATCCCAATTTTGTTGCTTAATGTTTATGTTCTAAATTTGCTTACATTGTGAAAAGTGGTAGAATCTATTTACATCTGTTGTTTTTGAGCCACTAATATCTTGAGATTTCTATGAAGAATCCAATATATTGTATCATTAACTTTTAAATATAGCTTTTGTTCATTGAGTAAATAAACTTGTGAGTGAAATAGATGTAATAAGGATTAAGCATATTGTGCTTAAGCATATTGTGCATAGAGTGTATGATCTGTCAGTTTATTCTGAGTTTCTATGTTTAGAACACTACCTTAAGCATTTAAACTTTGATTATTTTTTCTTGAGGTGCAAAAAATATCTTTTTAAATAGATATAGTATTTTTTAAAGCACTTCTCTTGCAAGTTTCCAGGACTTAAGAATGTAGTGAACTTGTAGTCATGAGTGTCTAAGTTCTGCTGCAGTAATTAGTTAACCTTGAAAAATCCCTGAAAATGTAATGAAACACATTTATTTCTTGTTCATAAAGTGTCTTCTGTAAGTCTAGTCATTCTCTAGGACAGCTTCCTTCAAGTTCTAAGTCAAGGATTTAGTTGGCTTTGTCCTCTGGTTCAACTCATGGCTTTAGTTCCTATGGGAGGGGAAGAGTTTTCCTTGCCTCATTCCAGTAGTAACAGATGTTGCTTCCACTCACAGCCTAGTGGTCTGAATTAGACATAAGGTTCAATGTAATTACAAAAAAGCTCAGGAAGTGTAGTCTACTGAGTACCCAGGAGTAAAGGAAACCAAATTTTAGCAGTGACTAGTAGTATATAACACAGACTACATGCCATAGACCTCAGAGGTCAAAAGACTATCCATTAATTCATTTAGCAAACATTTACCAAACATTTGATTGGTAAGCCCACAGATACGTAATCTTAAGTGATCTCTTGCAAAAACTCTTGACAATAAAAAACATGTATATCCTAAGACTGACAACATAAATATACTTTTTAGGACTGTTACTATTTTTTTAGCAAAGTTATCTTTTTACCCTCAACCGAGGACATGTTTATTGATTTGAGAGAGAGAGAGAAACATCGATGAGAGAGAAACATTGATTTGTTGTTTCTCATACGTGCCCCAACCAGGACTGAACCCACGACCTAGGCATGTGCTCTGACTGGAAATCAAACCCGTAACCTTTTGGTTTATAGGATAACACTCCAACAAGCTCAGCCACACTGACCAAGGCAACAAAGCTATTTTCTTTTTACAATAGGAAAAAGGCTTTAAAATTCCAGTACCTTATGTACATGTGTTTTGTTTTTTTTAACATAAAAGTAGCTAAAAGAAGGTAGCCACAAAGACTATGGTAATATACCATAGAGGTTATAGGCTATGCTAGTTATTAATTATGGTAACTAATAATCATAAAAGATAAGTATTTAGACCATCAGGTCAACATTTTAAGCACCAGCACAAAGGAGAGGAGGCAAACAGAGATGCAACTTTCAACTGAGGTAGCTTCTTTCAAGGAGCCTTCCAGTTTTTCCAATTGTACTTATGTTTTACCATGTTAACCAATTCATAGTCACACAAAATAGGTAAGGGGGTTTGGGAAACATAGTGTTTTGTCTAGGTACTGTGCTTTCCTAAATGGAATTAATGTTTTGTCACTAGGAAAGAATGGGAGAATGAGTGTAGAGTGAGCAGTTGCAAGGATTTTTGCAGTTAAGAGGGATTCACTCACACACACACACATGCATATACACAGTTGAGTATATAAAGACAAGCTGAATATATAATCACAAGTAGAGTAATTAAAGATTTCTTTAGATTGTTCTTCATCTGTTTCTGTACTAATAAAACTTAACTGGGGCAGGAGGAGAAACTTTTCTTTTTTCCTAGTACTTTTCCGTTCCCATAGTAAATGTTTTGGTTACCATTTCTGCTACTGACTTTACCATTAAAGAGAATATTATTTATTGAATATAGACACAGTAAAGCAGTTGGTATTTTAATTTAGTCAAATGTAGTAATATAATATCAGAGCTTTAACTTGTCAGCTGTCATGGTCCTTTATACATTTTCTTATATGTTTAATTAATGTTTCCCTCAAAAAGGCATGCTTAGAAACAGATATATTGTTTTAATATTAACAGTTCATAAACAACATTTTATTGGTTTTTTTTTAGGCTTGTCACTATGAGAAACAATAAAGTAAGACCTGAACCATCACAAAGCCTAGTAATTGGATTCAGCATGTCTGCTACATATTATAAAAAAATCAATTAAACTTATTGCCATCTTTCCCACCTTTGTCTTCTTCTCCACAGGCTATATGTTGATGGTCCATTTGGAAGTCCATTTGAGGAATCATTGAACTATGAGATTAGCCTCTGCGTGGCCGGAGGTATTGGAGTAACTCCATTTGCGTCAATACTCAACACCCTGCTGTATGTCATTTTAATCCATTTTATTAGTCCAAATAAAGAACTGCCGATATGTTAGACATTTCTTTTTTAGGATGAAATAATTCCTGATAAAATCTTTCTACTTGCTGTTGAAGGAGCTTCCTTTACTGATTGGTGAAGGGAATAACTCAGTGGTTCTCGATACGTAGTCTTTGGCCTTCTGCATGCTCTCTGGTAAAATATGGCTGTAGCAGTCATGTATTCCTCTGTCTTTATTCTCTATTAAAGTTCTTCGCCAGCCTTCATTTCTCTGCTTCCTCATCAGAGTTAAGTGCACTACTTATCCATCAGTTAACAAATACTTTTGAGCAACTGCGTGCCAATCTATCTTATAGTTAATACTGCTAAGCCAGTAATGAATGAAACTGAGCCTCTGCCCTTAAGAACCTTATGTTCAAATGGGGGAGGTAAGAATATACCAGTGAGAAATTCGTAAGTAATATTACTTCAGAAAACATTAGAACTCTAAAGAGAAGAGATACTCATGGGATAAAGAAATAAAGGGCCAAGGCTGTTGTAAAAGTATGGTCAGGGAGAGCTTTTCTGAGAAGATGACAAAATGAACCCATCATTTTTTGGCCCATTATTTAGCAAATTCATAACAGACAGAAGAATAGAAATTTCTATTCTAGTCAGAGGTAAGACTGCTTAACCAGGAAATACATCTTCAGTTATTTTTGTCCTAGGAGTATAAGCAAAAATTAATTGATTAACATTAATTGTCATGAAAACACAAACGAGATAATAGTCGGAAATTATTCTCAAATCTATTACATTCACTTTTCAAGATACAATTTGCATTAAAAGACTGTTTTATGGAGAACCAAAAAAGAAATCATAGTTTGAAGTGATGTGTTCGAGTGATATTTTATTTCAGTTTTAGATACTTGATATAAATTTAGGCTTTTTTGTCGATTCTTAGAAAAATAACCGTATTGCATGCCAGAAATCATGTTTCTGAAAACATATTGCAAGTTATTTGGACAACTAAAGTTAAGAAAAGGAAAGAATATTTCCTTAACCTCAAGCTTACTTCCTAATTATAAATCAGAATCCTACTTGGAATCATGATTTACTGGAATGCATTACATAGTAGGTGGTTGTGAAATCTCCTTCTTTAATGCTATTAAGAAGGGGATAAACAACCAGTTTCTGGAATGGTTTCCTCTTGCTTTGCCTGGAAGCCAGGGCAAGAATGATGAGGACTGGAGCCCTGCCGAGGGATAGAATTCACTGAAAATAGAGAGCTTTTTTTCCTGAGATGCAAAGCTGATGTTATTCTGATCCAGGAGTTTAGTTTATTGCTTTCAACTGGAAATGGGTGCTGTGCATATAATATTCACAAGTGTGAGCACTGAATTCACGGAGAGTACTATGTTTTAAATTCATTTGGAAGTTATAGTAAATGCTAGGTCAGATGCTTGACCGTAAATAACTGGTTTTTCTATTGGTTTCTTACTAATGAAAAGCAAATTTTCAAAGATACAGGGATTCTAAGCATTTTCTGCCATTCTAGTCACTATTGTGTTGTTTTAATTTTAAAGGGATGACTGGAAACCATACAAGCTTAGAAGACTGTATTTTATCTGGGTGTGCAGAGACATCCAGTCCTTCCGTTGGTTTGCAGACTTACTCTGTGTGTTGCATAATAAGGTAAAATTAGGTTTGATTTACCTTTGCAATTTTTAAATTTAAAAACATGATTATTTTCTTTCAAAATACTAAACTACTAAATGCTTTATAAAGAAAAAAATCCAAAAATATGCAGATAAATAGTGAAGAGGAAAGATCCTTTAAACTTCAAAAAGCAGAGATAATAACAGTTGTTAACTGGTACACGTCTTTTTAAATACTAGTGTCTGTGATTATGTGTATATGTATTTGATATGTTTTAACATGGACATGCTGATTTATATATTCTAACATAATATTTTAACATAGAAATGCATGCATATGCTAGTGATGTGTACATATGCACATATATACTGTTTGCAAATGTGTGCATATGGGGTGGTGAGGGAAGGCAGAGGAAAGGAAACAGCAACAGATAACTGCTGCTATACTTTCTATCTTTTGTGCTAATAGCTCTTATCTCTTATCTCCACCTTTAATATCCCAAATGGACCATCACAAAACCTTTGGCACACTATGCAGAATTTCAAAAAGCCCAAATTCTGTTTTGTTTCTTACAAAGATGATAGCAGGCATTCTTCATCTGCCCTACTTGTAACATCTTATTTGTCTATTAGTATGTCTATCTTTATTTTTTAAGTTGTACAAGTAATACACATCCTTTCTGTATCTTTGGTGTAAATTTTTAAAATAATTCAGATAAAGCAAAATCTTCCCTTACTACCTTCCCCACCCAATCTATGTAACAAGCGGTAACTCATGAGTGTTCTATAGATTCTGGCATACTGTTTGCAGTGTTCTGAAAGTTGCTTTCCTAAACTTACGACTGTGTCTTGAACATTGTTGGTAGTGGTACATGTAGAGTTACCTCATTCTTTTTTACTGCTATCAAGTATTTCATAGTATGAATGTTTCTAGTTTGTTGAACCATTCCTTCATGATGGATATTTACATTTTTATCACACAGAGTACTGCAGTGATATCATACATGCTATTTTGTACAGATAATTACTCTTTTGGTCACCCATCAAATATTTACTAACTGCCTACTATGAATTAGAAACTGTTCCGGGACATAGAGCTAAATTGGGGATCAAAATAAAATCAAGTTTCTGATTTCAAAACCAGTTTGCGATTTACCTTCTAAGTAGAGAAGATAAACAATAAAGCAATGAATGAATAGAATGTCTGATTCTGATTAGGACAAAGAAGAAATGGAATGTGAGGTAAAGCAGCAAAGAGTACATGATGGAGGACGTATTAATGTATGTTGTGTATTTGGAAATACCCACCAAAAATGGTATTTGAGCAGAGGCCCCAGTAAAGTGAACAAGGCAGATATCTTGGGGGAAAATTTTTAAGGCAGAGAGACCCAACTTTACAGGCAAGCGCTCTGATGCAGTAGTGGTAGATGGGAGGAAGATGAAAGGGAGCTGTGCGGGCAAATCAGAGGAAGCAAGGGGAGACATTGTGGGAAAAGCAATCAGGGAAGTCGTCTGTGTTTTATTGGTGGGGGGAGGGCAGATTACATAAGGCCTTTGGATTTTACGCAAAAAGAGATTAGTTCTGGAAATGTACCAATAATAATTGAAAGCAGTGACTTGAACAGCTGTTTGTACTCCAGTGGTCATAGCAGCATCTTTCACAGTAGCCGAAAGAGGAAAACGATCCAAATGTCTATCAGTGAATGAACAGATGAAGAAAATGTTACATATACATATAATGGAATTTTATTCAACCTTAAAAAGAATGAAATTCTGAAGCATGTTACAACATGGGTGAACCTTGAAAACATTATACTGAGTGAATCAGTCCAGACACAGAAGGACAATTAATTATTACCTGATTCTACTTAATAGGAGATACCTAGAGCAGTCAATTTCATAGAATGCTGGTTGCCAGGGTCTGAGAGGGAGAGGAAATGGAGACCTATCGGTTAATGGATACAGAGTTTCAGTTTGAGAAGAGGAAAAGTTCTGGAGATGTATGGTGTTAATGGTTGCCCATCAATATGAATGTATTTAATGCCACTGAAATGTATACTTAAAAGTGGTTAAAATGGTAAGTTTATGTTACGTATATTTTACCACAATAAAAAAATACAGTTCCCTGGGAGCCTCCAGGGACCTGCTGAATCAGAAGGGGAAAAAAATGGAGGGATGGGTAGCTACTGAAATAATGTCAACAAAACTGATCTGACTGTAGATCATCTTGGGAATGTGTGTGAAAATACCAAGCCCTGGAATGTTGCAGTTTGTAGAGGAGCGAAGAGTGAGTAATAGTTAACAAAGGAGACTGGTCAGAGTGATGAGTGAAATAGTAGCAAAACAAAAGGGAATCCCAGCTTTGAGGCTAAGGGAGGAAAATCATCAGGAAGAGCAAAATCACCGCTTTCTAATTTGTGAGTGTTTTTTTTTTCTGGGCCAATGCCAAAGACTAGACTTCCCGAGTTGGAGGTTGTGAATAAATTTAAATTTTTAAATTATACTGGCAAAACTCTCCCAGAAGAGACTAAAACAATTTACATTTATGTCAAAGAATAGGAGAGAAATTTATTACACCAGTCTGCTCTCTGTATCTATGAGTCTGTTTCTGTTTTGTTCATTTATTCTGCTCTTTGGATTCCACATATAAATGAAATCATATGGTATTTGTCTTTCTCTGTCTTACTTATTTCACTTAGCATAATACCGTCTAGATTTATAAGTGTTGTCACAAATAATAAGATTTCATTTTTTATGGCCAAGTAATGTTTCTATTGCTCATATCTATCGCATCTTTTTTATCTGATTGTCTATCGATGAGCATTTAGGTTGTTTCCATATCTTGGCTATTGTAAATAATGTTGAAATTAACATGGGTATGCATATATTTTTAAATTAGTGTCTAACCACCTTGCTGTACATCTGAAACAGATATAAAATAATATTGAATGTTAACTGTAATTGAAAAATAAAAAATTTAGTATTTTGAATAAACTAGTCCACACTTTCTGAGAGGAATTGTTAATCCACATATGTTTAAGACATACTGGATAGCATTCTATATTTTGCTTGTGACATTAATTACTAAAAATAATTGCAATATCAATATTTAAAGTTTCTATTCTCAGTTATTTGAAAGATTATTTTTAACTTGAAAATTAAATTAGATATTTTAACCTAAAAGTAAGAAAATATACAGTCTTTTAATCTTCTTCCAAAAGTGAGTTCTTTCATATCATTGTAGAACATAACCTGGAACATAACTAGCTGCTCTAGCCACTCAGTCTTGGTGTGAGATTACCTGAAATGATGACGAAAGTTGCCCCTTGGGTGATTCTGTTTGGCCAGATTGTCCAGTCTGGTGAGTGAAGCAAAGAATGCAGGGCTAGACGTCAGGTGATCTCGTACCAGCTCTGCCAAAAATTATATGACATGCTTCAAGTCACTTCACGTTTTTAAAACACATTGAGAAAATCAAAAAGAAGAACCAGGGGCTGCATCAAGCATTTGGAGCCTGTACCTCACACTGACTCTAAGATGTTGTTAGATAAACCACTTAACTTTCATAAATCCTATTTACACTTCCAATTTGTAAATGAGGATCACAGCACTGAAAGCCTGATGTGAGATTTAGCTTTAACATATCTAAAGAAGCTATCATATTGAAAGTATATAATAAATGATTGCTGTCATTTTTATTAGTGATCTTTAAAATTCTTTTCAAGAGTCACATTCTTCTATTTTTTAATATGTGAGGAAAATAAAGTAACAGGCAGGAGAAATAAAAATGAAATAGATAATCTTTGTGCATGATACTATAGTCCTAATCTATTTGCAAGACTGTGTTGATTCATCAATTTGCTCCCTGGACTTGAAGAAAATTGTTCCTTTAGTGTGTATTATTACTTACCTTCTGTGAGAGAGAAGTTGAAGTGGAGACATTGAAATCATTAAGAACATTATTTAAATTTGTATAGTTCTTTCTGGGGACTACAGGCACCAAACATCAGTTATTGAGGTAGGAGTCATAAAACAGCATCCTAGGAGGCTGTTAAGAATCAATACAAACCGTGTATTCTATGAGATGGTACCCATTACTGGACCTGGAAATCCCTCCGTTTCTTCCCAATTAGAATTCGTGAATCTTGATTCAGTTCAGAAAGGGCCTTAAAATGAATTTAGCATTTGGATATAACTTGAGTTATCTATTGGATGGGAAATGATTAATGATGATATTTTAAGAAGACTATGTGTGCTGATAATAATCACTTTTAAGGTAAAATATGTTTTCCTTAGGATTTTAAAATTCACAGTTGCCACCTGTCAGAAAATGTATAATTTTAGATCTGGAGGAGACCTGTGAGATAATATCCTTCAACCATATCATTTGTCTTGATGAAGAAGTTGAAGCCAAGAAAAGTTGAGTAACTTTTACGAATCTCTGGGCCAGGCAGTCATGGCAATAGACTAAAGTCTCTCAGTTACTTCCCAGAGAGCCAGAGGGGCAGTGAAACAACAATCACCCCTTATCTGCAGAATGACTTCATTTGCATTCCTAAAACATCTACTTGAGTCCTAACATATCAATTTTTAAAAAAATCATTACTTTCACAATTTTATATATTTTATATATATATATATATATATATATATATATATATATATAAAATATACACACACACAAACACACATACATTTGCTGGTAGATATTGACTGATTAGGCAAGATGCATCTTAACAAATTCTAGAATCACACATCTTAGAAAAGGAGGAAGTCTGAGTATACAGAAATAACTTTAATGTCTGTTTACTTATATCCTCTCAGTTTTGGCAAGAGAACAGACCAGACTATGTCAACATCCAGCTGTACCTCAGTCAAACAGATGGGATACAGGTATGTGGCTGTATGTTATTGTAAATTAAACAAGCCTCTTGATACTAGGAAATTTACTGTAAGGGCTGTGCTGGAAGGAAATTTCTGTAGGTGGTTTGAAGAGGTTTCCCACAGAAAGGCCTCTTGGAATGTGTCCAGAAAGTTCATGACTTGTCCTTGAAGTCGACCATACTATGCCCTTTTTTGTCCTTCTCACAGGGAGTTTGAGCAGCCTTTTGAGTTCATCTCTGTCCTCTTCACTGTTGCCTCAAGTTCTTTACCTATAGAGATTGTGACTGTGTCCAATGAGAAGAGGCTTTATGTGGAAGAAAAAGTAAAGCCATCCACAGTAAAGCTCATTTCTCTTCAAGGGAAACAAAAAAAATACTTATAGTTATCATACATTAGTTATTCACTGTGCTAGACACTGTGTGCTAATCAATCATATACATAATTGTGTAATTCCAGCAAATTCAAGAGGTAGAGAATATTCCTATTCCCAAATTATAGATGAAGACACTGATGTTGTAGACAACATTGACGAGCTGCATAACTGTATAAATCTGAGCATGAATGTTTTCACAAGTTTTATTTCAGAATTTTCTCTCATTGTTTTCTGTAATAACTTTGATTACAAAATATGAATGCTTGCCAGTTACTTCAAAACTAATCTAATCCGATTTTTTCTAGTCAGAATTCTTCCCTACTTGGTATGTAAATATATTTTATTTTACTACTCTTATGAAGCAAGTCAGTACCATTGTTTCTCATGGCATTGCTGTAATTAAGGTACAGAGCATAAATTGCATTTGGTTCTCAGTTTGTCTGCTTGAACACTTTTCTCCTCTTTTCTCACTTTATCTTCAGATCTCATATTCTGTTCATTCAACAGTTCTTTAGAGTTATTTTGTTGATAAACCCAGGATCTGGAGCTCTTCTGTCTTAGGCTTTCTTGTCTTAGATCATTTTCCCAAATTTATGATTACAATTTGTAGTAATTTATCCATATAATGTGCCAGATATGACAACTTTATTTGCAGTGCAAAAACAATTCAATAAAGTTTATGTTCTGATGACTTTTTTTGATTAGGTAATTAGAACGAATTTTTAAACATTGCAGTTGTTTAAAAATGAAGCAAATCAACCATTTGTAATAATGACATTCAGGAAAAGAATGGATTTTAAAGGTAGAAAGGAAGGCAATGATGTTCTGACTGTACTTAATAGGTTGCTATTTGATACTTATATTCTTTATATCACAGCAATTTGGTAGGAAGCCACAGCACCAGCAGAAATGATGTTAGAGAAATGGGTAATTTGCCAATTCCGTGTCATGTAAAATATAATGCTTTCTTTGTGGCAGAAAATAATTGGAGAAAAATATCAAGCACTGAATTCAAGACTTCATATTGGACGTCCTCGGTGGAAACTTCTGTTTGATGAAATAGCAAAATGTAACAGAGGGTAAGTACCATTCCACAGAAAATTTGACATGTGGCTAATGATCAAATTAAAACATTACCACGTCATTACATGATGTTTTTTAAGATGGATTAGTAATGGGTTTACAAATTAGAAAGTCACTTAAGCACTCAATTATCACTATCAAAGGAGGAAGCAAGTCTGGGAATACTTTACTGATGTGTAATGCCAAATAATTAAAATTTGGCTTAGAAATAGTGTATAAATTATCTATGAACTAGACTCTTCTTCTTACTGTTAAATTTTCATAGATTCATATTAAAATAAGTGTTCATTCCCATAGCATATATCAGGTGATCATTAGAAAAGTTTTCAAAATCCTATTGGCAAACAAGGAAGCTCTACAAATAATTCTAACATTACACGCACTTTAAAATCTATCTTTGTACATCTTTTACCAGAATGAGTACAATTTTTGAAACTCATAGTTATTATTTGCTGTTTCCAGTCAGGAATATTTTTAAACAATTTTTTCTTGAAAGTTATAATTCTAAAGGAATTTAACATTGTGGACTATGTATCTATGATCTGAAGAGGTTACTACTGAAAGAAAGCATTCGCATTAGGGCATAGAGCAGACAACCCACTTGCGTTCTATAAACTTATTATGGTACGAGGCAATAAATAGTCTACATCAATGTAAACACATTTTGAAAACCATACACCCACTCTCCCATTTTAAAGTTGGCATTGGAATAGTTTCATAATAAGGTTAAATAATTGCAAAGGCTGTAATTTCTAACATACTGCAGATGTTGGCATTTTTAAATTAATGTAACTGTTTTAAACATATCTCCTGGAATCTAAATATCAGTTTCTTGGTATCAACCTCATATATTGCAAATACACAAAAAAGCTTTCATTAGCAGTTGGAAATTATACACAATTCTTATTTTCTACTTGAACTTGCATTTCTATCTTGAGTAATCTGCAAAATTATATCAGAATTCAATATAGTTTTGTATTTGAACTAATTATATTTTTGTTTCTGACCTAAACATTTTTGCAACAAAAATCTACATAAATTGATGATTTAATTTTTAAAATTTCCTTTGACCCTAAGGTGCTACTGTTATTTTTTTTTCTGAATTGAGTTATTATTATAATTATTAGTGTATAGTTGATTAATTCATAATTTAAAAATATTTTGATAAATATAAAAATGATATTTGACTGTAAATGAATGAGATGGCATAGGAGATGAAGAGTTTTGTTTTTTTTTTAATCTCAATTCATGAATCATGGATCAAGATGTCTTGAAAGAATGGCTTTGTCTTCAGAAGTTTTGTTTTAAGAAGTATGGTGTGGAGCCCCAGAAACAAAATTTAATAAGGAATATATACTCGTGTAATTCAGAGTTCAGCCATGTTTGAAACCAATTCTGTATTCCCTTCCCTTGAGAAAGTACTTTGGGGTTGAGGAGGGAAGCATTACTTAGAAAGTGGAGATCTTTTGTAATACGCAGGGCCCCGGTTAAAGGCAACCTGTAGAGTAAATTAAAAGTCAGCCCAGTTTTGTTTTCTTCTTTCCCATCTTTTCCCATTGTCATCCACCTTATATGTGATCTTGTCTTACTCATCTGGGTCTTGCTATGCACCCCAGGCAGTTCATTTCTTGTTAGTGACATTTAACTGACCTCTGAGAAGCATTCTTTTATAAGTTTCTGTAGCATACTGCTGAAAACTTGGAAAGTTTTGGTTTCTACTCTCTTCCTTTCCCTCCCTCCCTCCCTCCCTCCCTCCCTTCCTCGCTTTCTTCATACTGAAATCAAGCCCCCAAACAGTAGAGGATCATTTATAGGAAATTAGATGGGAATTATTGGTTTCTTTAGTTATTTACTAAGAATTCTCATTTGTTATACTCTTTGTGATTTAGACAGATTTTGTCTGTTTATTTTTCATTTTCTTAAAACAGCAAGCTGGTTTAAGATGAGTAAATGTGCACCACCTACTGTTCACGTTGTGTAGAGCACTTTCACTTTCTGTATTTGCTCTGATCAGGCTCCTGAAATTCATTATTTTAAAAGGATCGTTATGTAGCATAGTTTGGAAAAGAATGAATTAAAGTCTCTTTCGTTTATTTAATTTCTGAATGTTTGTTTATTTCCATTACCATTTACTCCCTTAATACCCCCACCCCTCAAGAATCACCACACTGTAGTCCATGTCCATGCATCCATTTTTGCTTTTTTCCTCAATCCTCCTACCCACTAACCTCTTCCTCCCCTTAGCTGTCATCCTGCTCTCCATCTATAAGTCTGTCTATATTTTACTTCTTAGTTCAGTTTGTTCATTAGATTCCACATATGAATGAAATCATACAGTATTTGTCTTTCTCTGACTGGCTTATTTCACTTAGCATAATATTTTCCAGGTCCATTCACACTGTTGCAAAGAGTGGAATTTTCTTTTTTTATGGCTAACTAGTATTTCATTGTGTAAATGCCCCACAGTTGTTTAATCCACTCACCTACTGATGGACACTTGGGCTGCTTCCATATCTTGGCAATTGTAAATAACACTGCAGTAAACATAGGGGTGCATAAATTCTTTTGAATTAGTGTTTTGGGTCCTTCAGATATATTCCCAGAAGTGAGATTGCTGAGTCAAAAGGCAGATCCATTTTTAATTTTTTTAAAGATTTTATTTGTTTATTTTTAGAGAGAGGGGAAGGGAAGAAGAGAGGGAGAGAAACATCAGTGTGTGGTTGCCGCTTGTGCACCCCTTACCAGGGACCTGGCTTGCAACCTAGACATGTGCCCTGACTGGGAATTGAACTAGTAGCCCTTTGGTTCGCAGGCTGGCACTCAATCCACTTGAGCCACACCAGCCAGGGCCCATTTTTACTTTTTGAGGTATCTCCATGCTGCTTTCCACAGTTGCTGCACCAATCTGCATTCTCACCAGAAGTGCAAAAGCGTTCCCCTTTCTCCACATCCTCCCAGAACTTGTTGTTTGTTGCTTTATTGATGAGAGACATTCTGACAGGTATGAGATGATATCTATCATGGTTTTAATTTGCATTTCTCTGATGATGAGTGACATTGAACATCTTTTCATATGTCTACTAGCCATCTGTATGTCCTCTTCGGACAAATATCTATTCAAGTCCTTTGCCCATTTTTTAAATCAGGGTGTGTTTTTGTTTGTTTGTTTTTTGGTATTGTTTTGTAAGTTCTTTATAAATTATAGATATTATTAACTTCTATCAGATATATCAGTGAATATGTTCTCCCATTCTGTGGGATGTCTTTTTAGTTTGTTGATGTTTTCCTTTGCTCTGTAAAACATTTTAGTTTGATGTAGTCACATTTGTTTTCTTTTCCTAACCTGGACAGATATATCCAATAAAACACTGCCACAAGAAATGTCCGAGATTTGTGGCTTTGTTTTCATCTAGAACTTTTATGGTTTCAGGTCTAAGTTTTGTCTTTAATCCATTTTGAATTCATTATTGTTTGTGGTGTAAGAAAAGAGTCTAGTTTCATTTTAAGGCTTCATTAACTAGAAAAATATGCTATTTAAATAGAAGAGTTCATTTTAGATGTATTATTTTTTATTAACCTCTTGTACATAAATATACAGTGTGAAGATTGATAGTGGAGGAGAGTAGGTGGAGGAGAATATAGGGAAGATAAAGGACAATGGAAAAAATACAATAAAAATTAACTATTAAAAAAGAATATATAGTGAAGACATAAATTATTTTTAAATGTTTATTGTTATTCAATTATAGTTGTCCTAATTTTTCCCTCTTTGCCTCCCTCCGCCCATCCCACTCCCCGCCCATCCCACTCCCCGCTCCCACAGTCAATCCCCACACTATTGTCCATGCCCATGGGGCATTCATACATGTTCTTTGACTAGTCCCTTCCTCTTATTTCCACCATTTACCCCCTCCCCCACCCCTTCTGCTCACTGTCAGTCTCTTCCAGGTTTCCATGCCTGTGGTTCTGTTTTGTTCATTAGATTCCTCCTATAAGTGAGCTCATATGGTATTTGCCTTTCACTTACTGGCTTATTTCACTTAGCATAATACTCTCCAGCTCCATTCATGCTGTTGAAAAAGGTGAGTTCATTCGTTCTTTCTGCTGCATAGTATTCCACTGTGTAAATGCACCACAGTTTTTTGATCTACTCATTTACTGGTGGGCACTTAGGTTGTTTCCAGCACTTGGCTATTGTAAATAACACTGCGATAACCATAGGGATGCAGAGCTTCTTTTGAATTGGTGTTTCGGGATTCTTGGAGTATATTCCCAGCAGTGAATACTGGGTCAAAAGGCCATTCTATATTTAGCTTGTTGAGGAAATTCCACACTGTTTTCCACAGTGGCTGCACCAGTCTACATTCCCACCAATAGTGCACTAAAGTTCCCTTTTCTCCACATCCTCGCCAGCACTCATTGTTTGTATATTTTTTAATGATGACCATTCTGACCCATGTGAGGTGATAGCTCATTGTGGTTTTAATTTGCATCTCTCTTATGGCTAATGATGTTGAGCATCTTTTCATATGTCTATGGGCCATCTGTATGCCCTCCTTGGAGAACTGTATGCTCAGATCCTGTGCCTATTTTTTAATTGAATTGTTTGTCTTCCTGGTGTTGAGTCGTATGACTTCTTTATATATTTTGGAGATCAAATTTTTGTCTGATGTGTCATTGGCAGATATGTTCTCCCATATGGTTGGTTCCCTTTTCAGTTTGATAATGGTTTCTTTAGCCATGGATAAGCTTTTTAATTTGATGTAGTCCTGTTTGTTTATTTTTTTCTTTTTTTTCCCTTGCCCTAGGAGATATATCAGCAAAAATATTGCTATGTGGGATATCTTAAATTTTACTGCCTATGTTTTCCTCTAGGACTTTTATGTTATCACAAGTTATATTTAAGTCTTTTATCCATCTTGAGTTTGTTCTGGTGTATGGTGTAAGAAGTGGTCTAGTTTCATTTTTTGCCATGTACTAGTCCAGTTCTCTCAGT